TGATGACGTTGCCATTCTATCTGAGTCTTTGGAAACCCTAGTGGCGGCTCTCGATGCATTTACAATGAAGCGAAGCCCCTGGGTCTAGAGGTCTCCTGGACCAAGACCAAGGTCCAGGAATTTGGGGACTTGATAGGAGAACCTGTTCAGTCGGTACGTGCTTGCGGCGAGGACATTGAAAGTCACAGAGAGCTTACATACCCTTGGTAGTGTAGTTCATAACTCTGGGCTGTCAGACCATGAAGTCAGCAGACGGATTGGCCTGGCAGCAGGGTCATGAACTCTCTCAACAAGAGTATTTGGAGATGTCGGTACCTGTGCAGAAGGACCAAGCTTCGGGTTTTCAAGGCCCTGATAATGCCAGTTTTGCTATACGGTAGCGAAACCTGGACATTGTCCTGTGCCTTGGAGGCTCGTCTTGAAGCCTTTTGCAATAGGTCCTTGCGCCAGATCATGGGTACTGTTGGCGGGACCATGTGTCCAACCAACGGTTGCACCGTGAGACTGGCACAAGCCCTGTTATCTGCACAATCCGTGATCGCCAACTCAGGCTATACGGCCACCTGGCTCGCTTTCCTCAGGATGATCCTGCCCATCAGGTCGTCTCTATTCGAGACAACCCTGGTGGAGGAGGCCTGTGGGACGACCGAGGAAGTCATGGCTTGGGCAGATCGACCAAACCTGCCGTGAAGAACTAGAGATGGGCCGAGTCCCTGCCTGGCGTCTAGCCATGAGGGATCCTCGTAGGTGGAAGCGAAGGGTGGATGCGGCTATGCGCCCCCGTCGGCGTCAGCCCCCATGATGATGATGATGATATATATATATATATATATATATATATATATATATATATATATATATATTATATATATATATATATATATATATATATATATATATATAATATATATATAATATGTATATATACATATATATATTATATATATATATATATATATATATATATATATATATATATATATATATATATATATATATATATATATATATATATATATATATATATATATATATATATATATATATATATATATATATATTACATATTCATATACATATACATGTATATATATGTGTGTGTGTGTGTGTGTGTGCGTGTGTTGCATGCTTTGTGGCGCAGTTATAGTCTTGCAACCTTGTTGAACCGCGATCAAATTCTGCGCCGCAAATGGATAGCAACTTATTTCTTTCACACAAGTATTCATTTAAAAGTAAAGTAAGCAGACAGCTTGCCACACCAAGAATTCTTTATCACACACTAACCGATTTTGCTGCCTCTCTCTCTCTCTCTCTCTCTCTCTCTCTCTCTCTCTCTCTCTCTCTCTCTCTCTCTCTCTCTCTCTCTCTCTCTCTCTCTCTCTCTCTCTCTCTCTCTCTCTCGCTCTCTCTCCTTCCCTTCTTCCTCCCCAATCCCCGTCTCCCTTCCTCCTTACCCCTTTCTCTTTCTGGCGCCCTGCATACTCTGAGACTTCTGCCATCAGATCAATAGCTAATCACACACAGCTGATTCGCTATGCATAGCATTTTAATCTTTCAGACCCGCACCAAACCATATAATCTGGAGGACGCGCTCTTCGCCACGCAGTCCGGACGTCCGCGAGATTTTCGTCGCGTGTCTAACTTTCGTTCTCGATTCCCCCTGGAATGTTAATTCAGGATGATCCTAAGTTAGAGAGAGTGAACAAAAAGCTCGAGGAATAATGAGTCGGTTTAGTTGGTATTATCGAAGTAAAGTGTGACGGCGTTCTGGTGACACATTACGGGCTGGCTCGTTTGAACCCGCTCTGTTTGTGGTGACTGAATTTATTAGAGCTTTGTTCGGAGTGGAAATACCTGTTGATCTTCTCTACTTCGAAAGGTGAAAGAGAAATACAAACAGTTGTAAATTATTAAATACGATCATAACTAACAATTATTAGAAAAAATAAATGATGATAATGATGATGATAGAAATAACAATAATCATAGTCATTGTACTTTTGATGATCATCATCTTAAAGATGATGAACCCCTTCTTCTTAAGTAATTAACGACCACACTAGGGAATCATTTAAGGTAGACTCATTGATGTGATTTTTCAAATTATATTATTTTTGCATCAAATATTAATTGAGCTTGTCATTATGTTATTAACCTGTTTGCGCCAAGTATACACACACACACACACACACACACACACACACACACACACACACACACACACAGATTTATATATATATATATATATATATATATATATATATATATTATATATATATATATATATATATATATGTATGTATAAATGAATATATATATAACCTCTCCAATCGGGATTCGTTCTACCCACGTACATGACCCACTAAAAAGGAGCGTGCAACAAGGCGCTAGTTAGCGTCCATGTAAATTACTAACTACTCATACATGAGTAAGTAAGTGTGTAAGTTTTACACACACTCTCCCTGGGCACTCGGTATATATGGAAAGAGCAGAACAAATC